GCCAGAGACTCGACTTGGACTCATGCTGTAGGCCTGATTACCTTTGTTCAAAAAGTTAGAACAACTTATTTTCTTCCAGCGCCCTGGAGAATCGTACTAAAAGAACCATTCATATAACGCATCCACGCCATTGGATTTAATGGTAGTATGAATGGGTTTCAATGACGCTCAGTAGCAGTTTATTAGTGTGTGTGTGTGTGTGTGTGTGTGTGTGTGTGTGTGTGTGTGTGTGTGTGTGTGTGTGTTTAAGGTAGTAACAGTGAGTGGTGAGTGGCTGCTGTTTATCCTAATCGGCCTCTATATCTCTACTCTGAGGGTCTCAGCTGGATCCTTCAGAAGTTTTCTGCCCTCAGCAGATTCAGCTGTGCTGCTTTGATGATCAGCAAACCAGAGTGCTGATCCTCTTTCTGGCACCTTTCCATGTCTGTCCCCCACTGTGTTTACAGGTTGTACTTATTTTGCACTGATTTGGAAAGATGCATATGCTGCCAATTCTATGTTTATGAAAGAGGACACGTATGCAAGAATACACAGGCTCTCTCGCTCTCTCTCGCTCTCTCTCGCCCTCTCTCGCTCTCTCTCTCCCGGTCTCGTTCTTTCCCCATGATTGGCCTGTTTAGGTTCAGAGTATTTGGCACAGACAGTGGATCTGTTGCCTGGCTGCTCTGACATGGGTGGCTGGTCTCTCTGGTAACAGCTTTACGGACGCCCTTGTTGCCACGTCCAGCAAAAGGTGCAAGGGCAGGTGCGACTGTGTGTGGGAGAGCAGTTTAGGGAAACCGAAGTATCCCCTTCACCTTTGAAATCAAAGTTACACCAGTAAGTTACACAGTCAGTGCTTATCCAATCAGGTGTAATTAAGACTCAAGGAGACTTTAATAAAATAAATAAATTTCCTCACTTTTTTAAAATGACGCTGATGTATGTAAGCATATTCAATTTTCAGAACCTCCCGCTCCACAGCGAAGCCACAAAAACAAACCATATAAAATTCATCATTTTTTGTGCTGTTATGAAAACCAGCACATTTACTTATGTACACCTGTTCAGCCTGCAGCAGTTTAGCCCCGCCCACTCATGCTGAAGTTATAAGGAGTGGGCTGCTATTTAAAGGAGGCCCGATACAGGGCAGCCAGTCAGTGGTCTGTCTCAGGAATCAAGCTTTGCTTAGCCAGCTAACTTTTAATCTTAGTTTGGTAACAGTGGATTACTTTTTACTGGATTATATCACCATGGCAACTTATGCTGGCCACCTAATCTGCTCTGGTGGAAATTCAATTAGTGATTACAGATCAAAGTCGGCTCTTGCACCAATCAGAGCTGAGCTTCTGATCAATCAGGCACAGACTTGTGATGAAGGTGGAACCTTCTGGTCTTTTTCAGTCACATTTCTTTTTGCTTTGATGTTTAACATCAACCGTGAAAAATCTTTTCAGCAGTTTGAGAGAGAGAGATGTGAAGCAACTCTAACTCGGTGACAGCTGCTTTTGACTGTTAGAAATACTTATATATTTATATATATTATGTGCATGAGCACAAGGATTAATCACAGCCTGAGTGTCTGAATCTGGGTTAACAGAGAAGGTTGTTAACCAATGTTAGCAGTCATAAAACGAGGCAACCGTGGTTGAATTTGCCAGAGTTGCTCCATGAGATCAGCGCCAAATTAAGTCTTTTAATTAAGTTTTTAAAGTAGTTTTTTCTTTATTGCACCATTCTGAGTAACTCTAGAGGCTGTTGTGTGAAAATCCCAGGAGATCAGCAGTTACAGAAATAAACCAGTCCATCTGCCATTAACTACAATACCACGGTCAAAATTACTGATCACACTTTTCTGTAACAGAAATAGCCTAATTAAATCTGAGTCATAAAGGTTTAAATTATGTGTGTAAAAAAGGAATAAAACCACAGAAGTACAAGAAAGTGTAGAAAATGGGCCGCTGCATTAAACTCTCTACCAACTCCACCGAAGCGTTTTTGCCATGAGTAATCTTTGAAGTAAACAGCAAGATGTTTAGGAGATTAGACCAGCACTGCTCTGGACTGCCCAGCCAAAACGTGAGGTTCATTAGTCCCCCTAACAAGCCAGCTGTTGCGTAATGTGCTAACTCTAAAACTTTTTTGTCATAAATAAATTTCATTGTCATTAATAAAATGAATGCTGTAGGTTAGACGATCAAAAGCAATGCTTTACATGAGTCAGCACACATTTGAATCAGAGTCTCAATCCTGTCTGCTTTCGATCCGCTAAACAGGGCCTGGTTTCCCAAAATCTCAGCACAAAATAGATTCTTAACTGGTAAAGCGAGCATCACAGTGAATACTCTCTCTCTACCAGCTGAGATGGTCTTAACATGATACTTTTGGGTCCTGAATTCTGCTTTTGCTCTCTTCACGTGAGTTTTTATTGGCTACGCTAACGGACCACGTGATCACGGAACAGGACCTTGCTCAACTGTCTGAGCTGCCAAATGTTCACACTGACCAATAAAGTTCTCCTAGGCTGCTAAGCTCCCTCACAAAAACAGCCAACAGCTCTCAAAGCTTCTCTCGTCCTGTTAAGACTTTAAATCCCCCAGAACCGCTCCTGATCACGGACAATTCAGTGGGGTAACATTCTCAGCATTTTCAGACACGTTTCCCCCCCAGACCAGAGAACCGGCGTCAACACAAGCAGCAGAAACTCAGTGTCACCACTAATTTGCCATTTTCTCCCTCAGTTTTACTGTATTTGAATTAATATTTATTGATTCAATCAGTCAAATCGATTTAACCAAAGCTTATATGTTCAGAACATCTGCAGTGTTTACATCCATGCATAACACTTAAAATGGCATCTTGACACATTTTCAGAACTGGCTTCCTCTTTCAGTGTGTAGGCTTTGTGTGTTCTGCTGCTTAAAGTGGAATTCCACCAGGATTTACAGGATATCTGCATAATTCAATCATTGAGATCTAAGCAAACTCATTCGGAGTGGTTTGATGTCAAATGCTTCATCGTAGACTCGTTTGTTTTGTTTTCTTTACAGTGGTGATGATGGGAACCAGGAGTCATGATATCTGTGATGCTAATGTAGCCATTTTATTTATTACCCAAAACCCAGTGAACCTTAGATGTAACATTTATGCACTTAATAATTGGAATCCAGCAGTCATCTGATTATTCAAGTGGTCGTGTAAACAGCAGTTTCTTAGCTCATGTTAAGGCCGTTATTAGACTTCTACAAATCTGAGTGTGATTTGAGCTCAGTAATGCGGTTCCTCAGTGCTGTAAACTCTTACTGATTTCTCTCAGTCTGAGCATGTGTGAAAACAGAGCGCGTACCGGAAACAGTGAGCAGCGTTTAACACACCGCGAGACACAGCACAGCACTTCTGGAGCGACGCTGAAATCAAATACGTGCTTGACGAAGGATTTAGATATTCATATTTGCTGCCAAAATGACTGGATGGTTTAAATAAAAGCCGCGGTATGTAGTTTGAGTTTTACGTTACGTTTACGTCTCGCCTTCTGTGAGTTTATTGGCTGGTTGCAAAGCAGAAATCTGATTACTGTCTGACTCGTGTTGACCCGGAGCGTTCCCATTATCTGATTACTCGAGCATATTAACGCACTGACCTATCCAGGGTGTTTCCACCCAATGAGTGTTGGGATAGTCTCCAGCACCTCCATCGACCCAGGAGAATATGCAGCGATGATGATGATCAAGATTAGTGACAATCAGATTTTCTGCAGTTATCAGATTATTAACATTATCATATATAGTCTGTCTGAGTGTTCTTGTGCTTGTCTGTATTAGTTTTTCATTGCTTCACAGTAACCAGGCCAAAGCGCTGCCAGTCCACTAGGAATTCTCCTGACTACTATAGTAAAGAGTGGTTCTGTAAAAATTGAGTTCTGTATAGAACCGTTTCATGCTTAAACGGTTCTTTGCATGGTGAAATCGTTCTTCAGATTAATGAATGTGTTGTATGTGGTTCCATGTAAAACCTTTTTTGAAAATGGTTCTGCATAGCACCAAAAAGGGTTCTGCTATTCTTATGTCAAGCTTGTAATAGTTCTTGGAGAAGAACCCTTTTTGGTGCTATATAGAACCATTTTCAGGTTCCACAGACAACCATATACAACATTCTCCATCAATCTGAAGAATCATTTCATCAAGCAAGAAGCCATTTGAGCATGAAATGGTTCTATACGGCTTATTATTCAGTAACTACAGGGGCTTTAATGCAAACTGGCTGAGCTGTTCTTAGGTTATAGAAGTGTGTAATAAAGCTTTGGGCCCACCGGTGGGTTTTGGGTGTTTTAAAGGGTCTAAGGAACCCTTGAACCATCTTTAAGATTGGGGGTGTTGGATATGAACTCTCCAGGGTGTTGGATCTCCCGGTCCAGGATTGGGCACCCCGGCTCCAGAACGCAGCATCTCATCTGTTTGCTTTGTTTACATGTTTATCATTTAATTATGCAGACATGCATAAAAATATCAGTGAACTTCCCCTTTAAGAGCCCAGTCTCTCTGGAAATCAAGCAGAATCGGTGAATCATTGAATCAGACTCGCTGGAGAGAGTCGGTTCAGCAGAACTGATTCGAACTCCCCATCACTACTCAGCAGGCGTGTTACCGCGGCGACTTCGAAAAGGACGAGAAGGCGCTCTGATTGGCCGCTCGGGGCGGGACGCTCAGGTGGTAGAGGTGGGCGGAGTCAGCGGCTGGATGTCAACGCGTAAAAAAGGGGAGGTGTCGTCAAAAAGAGGGGAAAAAAAAAAAAGCAAAACAATCGCCCCTCAGTGTTCACGCCCCCTTCAGACCGCACACCAACCCAATAAATAAGTAAATAATTAATTAATAATCCGGCGTAAATCAGATCTCGCGCCTGCCAAGTGCCCCTCGTAAGTCAGAGCGCGTGACTGTGACTCTGATGCTGAATTGCGGCGGCGTGGGAAAGGAGCGAGGGGGTGGGGGTGGGGGGCGGCGAGGTGCGGGCGCGAGCGATCCGGTGGAAGTTACCGAGCCACATACGTGTCCATCTCGCGCTGCCCGTGACCGAGGACGGCGGCGCATCCAGCGGCCGGTGCATTTGGCGTAAGTTGCTGTGCGCGTGACTGCGAGGGCTTCGGATGGATGAATGGAAAGTTGGTGTCTGAGCAGGTGGGGCGCGGAGTGATCAGCTGAGCTCGGCGCGCGCGGATCTGATGCAGATGTGCTGGTGTGACCGGTGTAGGTGAGGCAGGAGAATAAGGACGTGGCGCGTGCATCCACCGCTGCCACGCTATGTCGCGAGGACGCAGCGTTTGTGACCGGCCTTCGGGCTGAAGATGAGGTCAGATCCAGGCTGTGCCGCTGTTTTCCGCTCTGCAGGTGGATGTTATGATGTTATGAGGCGCTGCAGGTCAATCTTTTGTTTTAGCTACAGAAAAGTGGCTCAGTCCGCCCCGTTTATTCCCCCCGTGAACATAGTGGACATGTTTATTCTTAATATTTTAATAAATGCCTTTTCTGCCGGCTTGTTTATTATGAGGAAAACACCGAGGAATCATTAAAAACATAGATATATGAGGGGCAAAAATCTGGGCTGCCCGATGTTGTTTAATCAGTTGTCCCGGTTTCAGACAGCCGGTCAGGTGAGCTGCTGCTCTGCTGGACTTACAACCTGCAACCACACCGGCCTTTCCTGGTTCTTCATGGGTTCTTTAGTAAAGGCAGTGGTTCTATTTAGAACCATGAGGTCTTTGCAGAGCCATTTGCATGGTGAGTCTTCAGATTGATGGAGGGTGTGAAAACGGTTCTCTACAGCACCACAAAGTGTTCTGCTGTTGTTTTACAAGACATCATAACAATAGAAGAACACTTTTTCGTTCTATATAGAACCATTTTCAATAAGGTGCTATGTAGAACCATATGCAATACATTCTCCATCAGCCTAAGAGGCTATTTCATCATGCACAGAACTGTTGAAGCATGAAATGGTTCTATATAGAACTCATGGCTCTAAACGGAACCATTCCCTTTACTAAAGAATCCTTGAAGAACCGTCCTTTTTGGAGTGTGGGTGTGTTGGATGCAAACTTTTCTAGGGTGCTGGATCTCCAGGACGAGGACTGGGCACCTCTGTTCTAGAGCGTAGCGTTTGATGAAACCATTGCCCTTAGTGAAGAACCCTTGAAGAACCATCTTCTCACTTTCTTTTTTAATATGTAGGCTAATTTAACCAGACTGGTCCATATTTATGCTAAAAACACACTCATGGTCAGTTTATCGATATTTGTCAGAGGTTTAGATGTAAATTACAGCCTTCAGCCTAAAAGTAGTTCCTCCAGGGTTCTTCAGTAAAAGCCGTGGTCAGGAATAGAACCCAAGGAATGCTCTAATGCTTCTTTGTGTGGTTAAATGAAGGAAAACCTGTTGCATATGGATCTTGAAATAGCTCTATGTAGCACCTAAGAGTTCTGCCATTGTTAAAGAACCTTCTTTTGGTGCTATATAGTCAGGCTGAACAATTTGAGCGAAATATCGAATTGCAGTGTTTCTGACCGGTATTGTGATTTTTGTTTTCTGTAAATTGAGGTTCCGAACCTCCAGCACTTCCGCTTTCTTGCTTGTTGTGGTTGTGATGTCACAGCACACGGGTGTTTGGTTGCTTCTGATTGGTCTAACTTATCTACGAGCTCCTGTTGATAAAATAGACTATCATTAAAATTGCAGTTTTTGATTTTGATATAAATACAATCTTTCAGCTCTGCTAAACGAAAGTGCAGTGAGTGCTGTTCATGGCACTACACACTTAAAGGTGGTTCTTCAAGGTTCTTACTAAAAACAATGACTCTAGAGTTCTGTATAGTTCTGCTTAAATGGTTCTCCGCATGGTGAAATGCTTCTTTAGATTGACGAAGAATGTGTTTGTATATGGTTCTATGTGGAACTTCTTTGAAAATGATGCTGTATAGCATCAAAAGGGGCTCTGTTACGATGTCAAGCTTTTTGGTGCTATATAGAACCATTTTCAAAAAGGGTTCTTCTATTGTTACAAACTTGACATCGTAACAGTAGAATAGCACTTTTTGGAGCTACATAGAATCTGAAGAACCATTTCACCAGTCAAAGAACCCTTTGAGCATGCAAATTGTTCTTTATAGATCTAAATGGAAACATTGCATTTGCTAAAGAGCCTTTGAAGAAGCTTCTTTAACTGTGTAGTGCTAAAGAATGTGGTGTGGACAAGGATGGGGTCAGCCGGAGTCACTCTCACCACGCGATCATGGTCCTCTTTGTAGCTGTATTAGCATTGTTTGGAGAGGTCACGCACTTCTTAAGGCCATGTGATGATGTTTATGGTGGCCCAGTAGGGGCTTAGCCACCCTGTACCCCATTCATCATTGGTCACTTTCAGGTGGATGAGCGACCTTAACACAGCAGTGACCACTGGACGCGGTAGTGCTATAGTTGTGTGGTGTTGGTATGAGTGTATCAGGCACAGCGGTGTTGCTGAGGTGCTAGGTTGCGAGTGGTCCACTGCCTGCTTCAGTCCATGTGGGCTGCTCCCACAATGCCTGAGCAGGAGTCCAGTACTAAGCCATTGTCTGACTAAACTTGTCCACTAACATGTCCACTACTGAGGAGATTATTAGTTTTATCATCCCTCAAATGACCTCATGCTGAGATAAACAGATAGCTGAGATAGCAGAGCTCAGTAACGCTGAGATTAATAACTGATCATCACATTGATTTATCAGTCTACTCAGGCTTTAGCAGAGCTCAGTAACACTGATTAATAACCGATCACATTGATTTATCAGTCTACTCAGGCTTTAGCAGAGCTCAGTAACGCTATGAGAAGCTCAGCTCTTTAGCTTCATATACCAAACCTGGCTGTGATCTTAGACTCTGAGCTGTTATAACCTGCATGTAAACACATGATCACTGAAGTTGCTTCTTATCATGTGAGAAAATCACTAAAGTTCATCCTTTTCTCTCTCAGAGCGACGCAGAGAAACTCGTTGCTGCGTTTGTTCAGCAGAGATGATCACTGTAATGATCTTCTTACTGGAGAGAACAGTCCATCCTCTAGAACCCGTACAGAACACAGCAGCACGGATCCTCACAGCACCAACACAGAGAGCTCATATCACCCCGTTACACACTGCACTGACCGCCTGGGTCTGTTAGAGAGAGTTTAAAGCTCTGCTGCTGGATTTTAAAGCTCTAAATGACCTTAAAGCTCCTGAGTGTCTGTTTATGATCTCAGATCTGCAGATTCTGACCTTCTGAACTCCTTCAGTAAAACACAGAAAACGTGGAGAGACTCTTTCAGTTATTCTGCTCCTAAACTGTGGAGCTCAGTTCAGCTTTTATTAGCCAGTCGAGCTCAGAGCTCACTTTTAATGAACACCTGAAAACGCAGCTCTTTAACTCAGCGCTTCATTAAACTCTACGGCTCTTTTTAATTTGTCTTATGATTTGAAATTAATACTCATAGTTTCTTCTATTACGATTAAGCTTTGTCACCCGTCTGCAAATGCCACTGGGATTTGAAGTGCTCTAATAATAAATATTATTGACTCACACCAGCAAAGTGAAGCTACAAGGGGTTTCTAATAAAGTGGCCAGTTATGCTGCAAGACGGTAAAGCTCGATTCCGACGTGGTTTTGTTTTGTTTTCATGCTATAAAGTGGAGTGTGATCTCATAATCCTGCGCTGGGTTTCATTGCTGTGGTAAATAAAGATTCAGGCAGGAAATAAAGGTCAGGACGCTGGACGAGTGGAGAGGCAGAATGGAGGCCGGTCTGACGGATAGCAGGAGGTACAGTTGAGCCCCAGAACACAACAGCGAGGCTTTGTCGCTTTTCCACTCGTATTGTTCAAGTAAGACAAATGACACAGCGGAGGTGCAGATACTCCTTATCACACGGATCTGCAGGAGGAGCCGTAACCCGGCGTTGTTCTCGGATTAGGCCGGAACCTTCTTGTTCTGTTACTGACCCTGTTAAAGCCACTCGCAGCTCTCCTCACTGACCGCACCTCGCCTGATTATGTCTGATCTGACTGATCACCTCAGCCTCTCTCAGCTCTTACACTCTTCAAGGGTTCTTTAGTGAACAGAATTGTTCTATGTACAGCCGTTTCGTGCTTAAATAGTTCTGTGCATAGTAAAATGGTTCTTCAGACTGATGGAGAATGTGTTGAATATGGTTCTATATAGCACCCAAAAGGGTTCACTTGTATGCTCTTAAAGATGGTGCTTTAAGGGTTCTTTAGTGGAAAATGGGTCATTAATGGGTTCTTTGCATCATTAAAGGGTTCTTCAGATTGATGGAGAGTGTTTTATATGGTTCTATATGAAGGCTTAGCATAGCACCAAATAGGGTTCTTCTATTATTACAGACCTGACATCGTATCAAAAGAAGAACCATTTGTGGTGCTATATAGAACCCTTTTCAAAATGATTCTTTACAGAACCATCTATAGCACATTCTTTGTCAGTCTGAAGAACCGTTTAATGATGCAAAGAACCTTTTAATCATGCAAAGGATTCTTTGTATGTTCATGATTCTATATAGAATAATTTTCTTACTAAAGAACCCTTGAGGAACCATCTTTTTTTTTTGTGTGTGTGTGTCTGCAAGCCTGACGTCACTTGGGGCTAAATAGAACCATTTTCTAAAAGGTTCTGTATAGAACCATATACAACACATTCTCCATCAGTCTGAATAACCAGTTCACTATGCAAAGAACCTTTTAAGCATGCAGATGGTTTTATATAGAACGCGTGGCTCTAAATAGAACCTCTGCCTTACTAAAGAACCCTTGAGGAACCATCTTTAAGAGCGTAACCTTCAGCTTTTTGCTTTTCACACAGTTTCGCTCTCTCCAGTTTGCTGTTGTCTTTTGTTGTGTGACAGTTAAAGATGAGTGTGCTGGAAAGGTTCTTTGGAGCGAAGCTACTGAAGAACACTTTTTGGTTCCTCTATAAGACACTTGATTTCTTTGAAGGGCTCATATTTTCCAGTTCATTTGTACAGAACCATTTCCAGCCTCTCTCTCACTTCAAATTGAGCAGGCTGTATTTGTTGCTGCGTATTTAAGA